CGACGACGTCGTCGTCGTCGCGTGCAGGTGGCGCCGGCGTCGTCGACGCGTGGCGCCGCCGTCGCGGGAAGGCGATAAATTTTGGCTAGATTTTGTTAGTGGTAACCGGGTGTCATTGACACGTGGCGTCACAACCACTGTCGTCAGAAGGTGACTAATTGCAGCTAGATTCTATTGGTAATGCAGTGGAGTGCGAACTGTGTAACAGGCTCAACAAAACATGAACCATAATGCTAACTTAATAATAACCCAATCCTATCCCCGTTTCCGAACCTTTACCCTAACGCTAACCATAATCTATAACTGCTGTTACACAATTTGCACTCCATCCAAATTGGATTTGCGTTTGTCGTTTCGCTGACATTAACGTTCTTGGGTGTTGGGTAGACAATGGCATCAGTAATCGTACTAATCGAGTGGTAGGAAGATGTGGACATGAGATAGCGGTGGCGGGGCGAGTGATCCGAGATTGCTGTCCGTAACGAGAGATGCACGTTGCTCGCTTTTTCTCGCGCAGAACGAAGAAAAAACCGGAGGAGCTCTGGTTGGGGCGCAGCCTGGAGGCGCTCTCGCAGCACACCATAGATGGCAGCACGGGCAGCCGCGGTCAGTCCGGCCACTCGTCGCCGTCCGTCAGCAGCCCCGCGAGGTCGCCCCCTGGTGGCTCGGAGAGCGGGGATTCTGTCGTGGTTCCAAAGTCGCCGCGCACCCCGACCTGTCCCGTCATAGGCAGCATGGGACATTCTATCCAGCATCGGTAAGTGTGTATGGACTGATGGACGTACTGACGGACGTACTAACAGACAGACAGTTGGACAACATATTGTGGTGTTGACTTCTACAGGCACAGGGAGCATGGAACATTCTATGCAGCACCGGTAAGTGTCAAAGGACAAACTGACATACTCACAGATAGACAGTTGCAGAACATGTTGTGGTGCCGACTTCTACAGGCACGGGGAATATGGAACATTCTATCCAGCACCGGTGGTTAATCTGCATGGTGTTGGTTGGTTGGCGTCATGGCATGAGGACATATGATAACGCCCGGGGGGCCGTTGTCAGAAGCATCGCAAAGTTAATGCTAATGTTAATGCTAAGGTAACACTTACGACTAATGTTAATGTTACGAGAATAGCGTTGACAGAAACGCATCGCAGCTATGAGAAAACTTACGATAACAGGAACTTCATAATTGGATGTCACAAGGCTGTTGAGTGGATGAGAATCGATCACAAAATTCAAATTCATACACATTTGTTGTACATCACAGTAATTTATGCATAATATTATGATGGGTAACCACATATAAATAATATCTGATCAAAAACAATGCAGTCATGAATTTATTCTGCACCACAAGACATGATTCTCACACTGTAACCCGAGACGCGAGACTCGTGGCCAGTGGTCATGGCTCATCAAAATATTTAAAACGAGAACAAATGCCATACGCCATTTGTAAATGTTTTGTTTTTGTTTACGATCGGTAGATAATTAATGATTTTGAAGTATTTTTCAAGAAAAATATTATTCAGTAATATAAAATATAATAATAATACTATAATTGTAATTCTTAGTGTAAATGTGTTATTTTCATCTTAATATTAAAGTTACGAGAGGGTCTGGGCTCTCGTAATGTTAGGAGGAAATTTCCGAGGATTTTTCGTTCTCGTAACCTTACGATGTTTCTGTCAACGGTTTATGAGTGGAAGTTAATGGTAAGACTAATGTTAAGACTAATTTTGCTTCTGACAACGGGCCCCTGACCTCGACGGTGTGACCATGAGAGTGACGGCGTTGCTGCTTTCGTTGCTTTGCAGGTTTGTGAACGCCATCGAGATGCCGCCCTGCCCCTGCGACCACTGCGGGAAACCCGTCATGTTCCGAGGAAAGCGCTGCAAGGAGTGCAAGTGAGTCGGCCATCGTTTTTTCACGTTTCTGCGCGCCCCAGCCGTACCGCCACCGCGCGTGCGTCGTGTGCCCGACCGTGTTTCTGCATCGCCGCTTCAGCACTCTAGCCTCCCCTCGTCTCCCCCGCCGCCCCCCCCCCCTAATCTTTCTTTCTCCGCATACTCGCCGCAGGCGCAAGTTCCACAAGCAGTGTGCGCTGCGGGCGACGCCCTCCTGCGGGCTGCCCGACGGACTAGTCAACCACTTCAAGCAGGTGCAGTTCTCCTTCTCGGGGGGCGAGGAGAACCCCTCCCCCGTCGCCGCCGCCTGCAGTCTCGCGGTGCTGCCACCCGTCGCCGGGCACGTTCGGCAAGGTCGTCACCAAGGACACCGCCCGACGGTGTCCGTCTCAGTTTCAGCATTCCAGGTGTGTGTGGGAGCGGGTGTCTGTCGATCGCGTGGAAAGCGCATGTGGTCTCTCTATCTCTCTCTCTGTCTCTGTGTCCCACTCTCTGTCTCAGCTTCTCTCTCTCTCTCT